TTTCTTACCGGATTCGTTGCCACAGGAGCTCGGTCGCAGCCGCCCGGTCGGACCGACGGCCTCTCTTGGATTCTTTTGCGCGGAGTTCTCTGGAGGGGTTCGGTCGACCGGCGTTTTCGGTCGATCCTGTGAATGTGTCGGCGGTCGAGCTCGACTGCGGTCGACTCGACGAAGCGGGTTTCAGTGTGGTTCAGTGTTCCAGACCGGTTTCGCTTGGAGTTGTATAAATACCGCTAAACTCGTTTTAGGGTTAGAGTTTGGGCGATTTTGAGCTGAGCAAAGGGAGATTTGAGGGGCTTCTATTGTTGGATGTCTATTTGAGAGATCTTTTGGTCTTATTTGAGGGGTTTTGGGTAAGATTTGTAACCCTAACTTGTTACTCCCCCTTTTGATTTTGAATAGTAAAAGCTTCCCTCTCCTTGCCCGTGACTAGGTAGGCATTTGGCGAAGCCACGTATGATCTTGTTTTGTGGCTTGCTGATTGTGTTGCGCTTGTGCGATTGGGTTTGTGGTCTACTATTGTCTTGTGTGTGCCTTCGATTTGTCAATTTAGGGCTTCCTCTGGCGCACAACAAAGTCGGATTCAGAGCGTCCGTGGTTTGGATTTTGGAAGTTTTTGTTCGGAAAGGTTTCATTGGTTGGTTCTTGTTTGGTGAGGGTATCTACCCATAATGGTCGTGTACCAAGGCCAATGGCTTAGTTCAGTGTACTAGTACAATAATCCTCTCTCTTTTTTGTGGTCTACTATTGTCTTGTGTGTGCCTTCGATTTGTCAATTTAGGGCTTCCGCGGCGCACAACAACCAGATCATCTCAATCGCTTCTCTATCTCATTTATCTTAAATTGGTGTAATCTCCAACTACAAACGCACTAATTTGTGCCCAATATTCGTACAACATAACTATATTCTTAATTCTGCTATTAACGCACTAATTCGGTTCTACTAAGGGTATATCTACAAGACCATCGTGAAACGTTCTTATTTCTGTGACACTCAGTTTTTGCCCAACATTCTATAACATTAACTATATTCTGTTGTAAATGTTATTTAGTAAGCTAAATAGTACCCTGAGTGCAGAAAGTTTAATGCACTTTGATCAGGGCCATTAATATCTCATATCTCTTGATATTACACACAAGTACGTACATGCTCTATTGGAAGATATAAAAATTTTCTCTCTATATACAACTGCAGGTTGAGGTTCTCAGTAGAATAAGACACCCAAACCTAGTCACACTCATCGGAGTATGCTCACAAGCCCGGGCTCTCATTTATGAATTTCTCCCCAATGGAAGCTTAGAAGACCGTCTCGTCTGCAAAAACAACACACCCCCTCTCACGTGGCAAGTTCGAACTCGTGTTGCTTCCGAAATCTGCTCGTCTCTAATCTTCCTCCACTCCCACAAACCTCAACCAGTGGTTCATGGAGATCTGAGCCCCAAAAACATACTTCTTGATTCTAACCTCGTAAGCAAGCTCGGAGATTTTGGTATTTGCCATCGCACCGATCCAAAGGGAACATTTGTGTATATGGATCCTGAGTTCTTAAGCACTGGAGAGCTAACACCGAGCTCTGATGTCTACTCTTTTGGTGTCATTGTTTTAAGACTTTTGACGGGGAAACCAGCGTCGGAAATTGTTAAGAAAGTGAAGGAAGCATTAGAAAAGGGAGTTTTGGATGGGATTATAGATCCTACTGCAGGGGATTGGCCTTTTGTGCAGGCTAAGCAACTGGCTCACTTAGGTTTGAGGTGTTGTGAGGTTAATAGAAAGAACCGGCCGGATTTGATTGGAGACGTTTGGAGAGTGCTTGAGCCTATGATGAAGATTACTTCTTTACCTGTGTCCTTAAATTTGTGTGGTTCGGTTGTGGAGGGTAATGTACCGGCACCGAACTATTTCATTTGCCCAATATTTCAGGTTAGTTCTCTTTTGAGCTTGAAATCAAACCATTTGAATAATTTTAGTTTTGAGTTTTGGCTCTTGTTTGAGTAGTAGGCTTATGGTTTCCTGTATGATTCATTTTGACTCCGAAATACCAAGGGAATCTTGAAATCCCCCTTTGCCTTTTTTTTTTGGTAGGGGGTGGGGGTGGGGGGTGAGGAGGGGTCAAGTCACACTTAAGCTGTTCAAAAATAAGGATTTTGACAGATCTTCACATATTTGTGCAAAAAATCTTTTTAGCATAATACTTGTTGTGCGTATAGAAAGGAGGTCTTAGTATGAAACTTTCATCTCTCCTACGCGATGACATATTGATGAAATAAAATAATTACAGCTATACATCATTTTCTGGAACTGGATCTACATAGGTCCAAGGCTGTGACAGTGGATTTTTTAAAAAGACTAAGCTTAAGTTTTTACATTTAACATCTCTCTAATTTAAGAGTATTTTTGGTGGCAAAAGCACAGATTTTTGATAGCCCAGAGGCAAGGTTGGGAAGATTAATTACAAAAACACTCAGGTTAGAATGTTCGATTACGTCGCTTTTCTTATTTTTCTTGGCTTATAGACACCTCTATCTTCTTTACTTTTGATACTGTAATTCACATTAATTGCTTTTCATGGATTATCAACACACAAAATTAATCGAAATGCTTAGATCAATGCATTCTTGTCAAATTTTGATTGTGATTTTTACTTTGAACTGTCTATCTGAGAAAACTTGTAAATTTCACAGTTAAAAGTTTAAATCATCACTCTAATTTTTCTTCGATGTGCATCACACATCTCATATGTTTAACCATCATTTCCTAATGTTAGCTTCTCATTAAACTTGTTTTGTGCCCCTATGCAAAAAAAAAAGGTGAATAGGATTAACTTTTGAGCCATGATTTCCAGGAGATCATGAGAGATCCACACATTGCTGCTGATGGATTCACATATGAAGCTGAGGCATTAAAGGGTTGGATCGAAAGCGGGCACAAAACTTCTCCGATGACGAATCTAACGCTTTCTAATTGCGAGCTTATCCCAAACCATGCTCTTAGATCAGCTATTCAAGAGTGGCTTCAGCTTCATCCTCAGTTGTAGTAGTACTGGCCTTTCTTCCTTTTTGTTCATTTTGTTCTACTGCAGATATTAGTTTGGTGATGGATTTTTGTGCTATATGCATTGCATATCAGTTGCGTATTCTATATAAAGTGTAACCCGATTGTGTATATAAAGGGTTGCGAGAAAGGAAATATCAGTAGAAGTGGAAAGGAAATTTTATGGGATTTTGTATTTTATTGAGCTCGGTTGTCTTTCTTTCTCAAGGAGAATGGTCCTCCTTATATAGGGGCTTAACCCATCATCTCTATCCCTCAGATCCGCCCCCATGAGAGATTTTCTCTCAACCACCCATAATTCACGTTCTCCACCATTCTCTCAACAGAGAAACCGTGGTTGATTTGGTCATCAATGACCAAGTCAAGCTAACATCTCCCACTTGACCCACTTGACCAAATTAACCAAGTGACATGCCTCCCACTATCCGTGAGATCGGATGTTTCTGCTTACCATTACTCCCACTATCCGTAGAGAGTAGTTCTTATTTCATTATTCATGAAATTTTACTTAAACTTATTTATTCCTAAGTCCCATCAAACTTACATGTTTGATAAAAGATTCCGTTGGTATTCCTTTTGTCAAAGGATCAGCAATCATATCTATAGTAGGGATATAAGTCACTTTGACTTTTTTTTTCTATAATATCTCGAATATAGTGATACTGGATCTCAATATGTTTTCCTTTGGAGCTATTCGCACCACTATTGATTAAGCTAATTGCTGCTTGATTATCACAATAAATATCAATAGGTCCTTCCAACAAATTGAGATCAAGATCAATCAAAAACTGTCTTATCCAGACAGCATGTGTAGTTGCCATACTGCAAGCTATATATTCAGCTTCTTGCGTATATCTAGCAACACACCATTGTTTCTTGCTACTTCAAGAAACAGCTCCTCCTCCAAAGATGAATAAGTGTCCCGAAGTGGACTTTCCATCATCTTTATCACCTCAGAAACAGCTCCTCCTCCAAAGATGAATAAGTGTCCCGAAGTGGACTTTCCATCATCTTTATCACCTCCAAAATCAACGTCGGAATAACCGATGAGTTCAAGTGAATCAGCTTGATAAACTAACCTATGAGTCAATGTACCTCTGATATACTTCATAATCCTTTTAACAGCTTCCCAATGTGCTGGTCCTGGATTACTTTGATATCGACTGACTAGACTCACAGCATAAGCTATATCAGGTCTGGTGCACAACATTGCATACATCAAGCTTCCAATTGCTTGAGCATAAGGAATATCTAATGGCTTTTGCCTCTCTCCAGGGCTTTGCTCTTTACATAATCTCTTTTCCATAACCAACGAAGTTGGTGCCGGATTGGAATTCTTCATTCCAAACCTTTTAAGAACTGATCTTAAATATTTTTCTTGGTTTAAACTTAGCATTCTAGACTTTCTATCTCGAATTATTTGAATTCCAATAATATATGATGCATCTCCCATGTCTTTCATCTCAAACTTTTCGTTGAGATCTGCCTTGGTTTTATTCAACATTTCTATGTCATTTTCAGCGAGCAGTATATCATCCACATATAAGGATAATATAGTAAACTTGCTCCCACTTTTCAAGACATATACACTATTATCTAATTTACTTTGAATAAAACCAAGTTTAGTAACTGCATCATAAAATTTGAGATACCATTGTCTAGAAGACTGTTTTAAACCATATAGAGATTTTATTAATTTGTAAACTTTATGTTCCTGTTCTTTCACCTGAAAACCTTCAGGTTGTTGCATATATATTGCTTCCTTCAACTCTCCGTTAAGGAATGCAGTTTTAACATCCATTTGGAATAACTCCAAATCAAAATATGCAACAATAGCCAAAATAATTCTAATTAATGCAAATTTAGCTACAGGAGAATACGTCTCCTGAAAATCTATTCCTGCCTTCTGGTTATAACCATTGGTAACTAACCGTGCTTTGAATTTATCAATAGATCCATCAACACGATATTTTTTTTTTGAGCACCCATTTGCATTCTATGGCTTCTATTTTCTGGTAGATCACATAACTCTCATACCTTATTTTTTTCTATGGAATCAAGTTCTTCTCTCATAGATTCTAGCCATAAAGCTGATTCATGCGATTTCATCGCATCAAAAAAAAGTTAAGGGATCTTGTTCTTCTATATTTGTATCTACCGAGAAACATGATGGCTCACATGAATATAAATAGTAATCATCCATCCATGAAGGTTGTGTTCTTGGCCTTTTGTTGCCTACAACCGGTTGATTATGTACATTATTTTTCATAGGTATTTTATCATTTTTAAGGTTAAGTTCATTCACAATATCAGGGTCATAGTGGGAACAACACTGTAATAATCATCATCTATTACAGTTAGAGGTTTTGTTTCCTCTCGAACTTGTTCCTCTTCCTCTAGATTCTCTAGAAATGTAGCATCTCTGCTTTCAATGACTCCTTTTTCTTTATTATAGAACTTATAACTTTTTAACTTTTCTGAATACCCTATGAATCTACACTTTATTGTTTTAAAATCCAACTTATCTCAAAGTTTACATGGAATGAGAACATGGGTTATAGATCCCCACTTCCTGAGATGACTCAAATTAGCTTTCCTCCCATTCCATAATTCATAAGGTGTAGATACAACTGATTTAGTGTGAATTCTATTTAAAATATAGTTTGTAGTTAATAATGCTTCTCCCCAAAAGTTTTTAGAGAGACCAGAATGAGACAATATGTATCTAACTATATTAAGTAATGTTCTGTTTTTTCTTTCAGCAACACCATTCTGTTGTGGCGTATATGGCATTGTTGTATGCCTTTTAATTCCATGCTGAATACAATAACTCTCAAATTCTTTAGAGTTATATTCTCCACCTCTATCAGTTCTCAAAATTTTGATTTTCAATCCAAGTTGGTTTTTGACTTCTGTCTTATATCTCTTAAAGCAGTCAAAAGCTTCTAATTTTCTAGATATAAGATAGACGTGTGCAAACTTGAAATAATCATCTATAAAAGTAATAAAACATTCTTTATTACTATGAGTTTTGACACTTAGGGAACCACAAATATCCGAGTGTATCAACCCTAAAAGTTCATTGGCTCTGTGTCCGCCAATAAAAGGTTTTCTACAAATATCCGAGTGTATCAACCCTAAAAGTTCATTGGCTCTGTGTCCGCCAATAAAAGGTTTTCTAGTTATTTTACCAGTTAAACAATGTTCACATAATGATAATTGAGCATTAGATAGTGCAGGAAACAAGTTCATTCTGATAATTTCTTTCATTTTTTAAATACTAGCATGTCCTAATCTAGAATGCCACAATTCAGACTCAGAAATATAACAGAACAAGTAGTTCAAATTCGAAATTTCATTATCAGAATTATTACAAACTATTGGAAGAATGCATAATTTATGTTCGGGCACATATTTTCCCATAGCATACACTTTATTATTCTTGCCTATAGAAACTCTGTTATTATAGAACCTAACTTCTAGTCCTTTCTTCATTAAGCTGGGAACAGAGATCAGATTACACCGAATTCCTGGCGTATAGAACACATCTTTGAGGACAAGAATACTGTCCCCAAGATCCAATCTATATGAACCAATATCTTCTACATCAAGATAGGTATTATTTCCCATATAGATTCTCTGTTCTCCTTTCTTAAGCTCGGTGAATTCTATGACTCCTTTCTTATCCTTTGCGATATGTCTAGTTGCACCGGAGTCAATCCACCAACCACTGATATCCGTCATCACAGCATTACATTCCGTCACACCGACGAATTCTCTTTTGCTAGTATCCCCTTATTCTGGATGCTTATAGCCTCCCTTATTCTCCTGCTTTTCACCTTGTGGGCAATTAGGTTTGAAATGCCCGAACTTTTCACAATTCACTACAAGAAATTGGGTCTTTAACGAAGGGATTTCCCTTCGTTAAAGAGCTGAAAACCTTCGTTATTGTATACTAACTACGGGGAAAAATCCCTTCGTCACCCGTCGTTGAAGCCCTCTTCGCTAAAGGGTTACGAAGGGATATACTATCCGTCGTTATAGAGTCTATAACGACGGAACATATTACCGTCATTAATATTTACGACGGTAATTATCACCGTCGTTACCATCAATGACGGGAATATTTTCCCGTCGTTACCATCAGTAACGGGATATTTTCCCGTCGTTACCATTAGTTACGGGGATATTTTCCCGTCGTTATCATTAGTTATGGGGATATTTTCCCATCGTTGAAGACTAATTAATGACGGTTGGATACCGTCGTAAAAATCCTCATAATGGGTAATTAATAACCCATCAACGACGGTGCTTTCCCTTCGTTGATGAACCAAATACGGTTTATAAAACCGTCATTGCACACTACAAATTTCTAATATACATTAATAATAATTTTTCCGTTCATAGTCAACTATCATATTATTCCCAACCTGACACTAAGATTCACAATAAAAATATATTAAAAATACCCAATAATGAATAAGAGGGAAAATAAAAATTACATTCATTAATAACATCAAAAAAATAAAATTTCACCATCCTCAAATATTCAATAATAATAACAAGAGTTAATATCTCAATTGTTCCAAAGAAAAATACGTGAAACTATCTAAAACAAATTAAAATAAAAGTCTGGAAAAGACACATCCTTTCATCTCTAATCATGTTCAAAAGAACACTCGAGCTACCCCCCATCTCTTAATCTTGCATGGATAGCCTGAAAAATTAAAAAAATTACATAATTAAGAAATATCAATTAAACAAATATTATCTTATTAAGTAAAAATCGTATTTTCTCTAGTGCAAGTAGTCAATCATAAAAGTATATAAGATATTTTACAAAAAATGATTACCTAGTCTTACACATCTTCTCGAGTTTGAGGAGTCAATGAAGATGGTTGCCTAAAAAAAAGTTCATGTATAGCTTTCACTTATGACTCTAAGTCAGACATCATTTGTTGTTATTGATGTTGTTGTTGCTCCTGCTCATCTAAGCGTTATTGAATCATCTGGTTCTTTCTCTTTTTTTCTATAACCCGTGCTTCCAGATCAGATTGACTAGGGAGTGGTCCTCTCAAATCTTTCAAAGTAGTCTCGTCACCAAATACAGTAATGTGATCATGAGATTGCTTCCCCAGATTTTCTCAACTATTACAATGTCTGAAAGTGAAGGATTTGCTTGTTTGACTTGGACAATTTCATCCTATAAAAATTAAATTCATATGTTAGTACTATAATGCATTATTATCAAACTTAAAGACATATTCTACTTACATATTTATCTTGATCTCCACTATCTAGTGTTTCATTAGCTTTCTTTCAGATTTTATGGAACATTTTTGTCACATCGGATGGATTTCCTGACTTGCCACCATTATTCAAATATTAAATAAAAATGAGTGCAACATCAAACTAAAAAACAAAGTAGTTTTAAATAAATAGGAAATTAGTTTTTAATGTATATCAAGTCCCACGCAGTTTGTCTAAAGGGTTTACTATCCGTGTGGTGGAGCATCTTTCTTTTGCCTCTGTTAAGTGTATTTTGTTAGCTTGTTTTCTATACATCAAGATTAAAAGATAATTTTAATAATCCAGCAATATACATATAACAAAATAAATAAAATTAGGAGATTAATACCTGAAATTTTTAAGAAAAATAATATTCCTTAACTAGCCAATCTCAGTCATCAACACTCACTTCTGCAGGTTTATTTCTAAATGCAACTTGCAATGAATTTTCTTTCACATATTTCCTGTGCATGTCACCACGCCACTTATTCCACAAATCGCTCAAGTGTCTCATTACTGAATCTCTCTTTTGCTCCATGTCCTCGGCATCAAACTTATCCTATATCAAATTTGAATCGAAATATAATTTATAAGAATTAAAGACCAATTGCAAAAAATTAAATTTCAAAGTACCTTAATGGATGCCCATATATGATCTTTATTTTGTTGTGGTATTTTGGCCCAATTCTCACAGCTACTGGGCAAATATTTCTATCACGAATAATAATTCTAAGATATCGTGAAAATTCTGGTTAAATAGCTCTATTCTGATAAAAAGTAATGATCTTCCCCCACTGTGACAAATTATTCAACTTTAGACACTTATTACTACCACGAGGTGGATTTTTTTTCTTTTGAGAATTATCAGCTGCATACATCATATCATATGTTAGAATCAAGATAAACATAATGTGACAGATAAACATAATGAGAGTTTTAAGAATTATCGGCTGCATGTTTTGTTTAGTGTCTCATTACTGAATCTTAGATTTTACAAGTTGGTTGACTGGCACTACCGGCTAAGAGGGGAAACAAAAGGATAAAAGAAAATAAGATCAATAAAAAATATGCGACAAATAAAGGTGGTCCAAATTACTGTATTACGGAGTCATAGCCTTGGATTTAATTGAGGCAACGCCACTTTTGAGTATCAAAAAAAAATTCAGCATAAAGATAGACATCTACAGAATGATTGTTCGAAATAAACTTAATGCTCTAGGAATAAGTGAAATTAAAACGAGGGCTGACTTCTTCTTATCAATTTCCGAGATGTATGTCGCTCGTGTCTGCTTTCTCAACAATTACCTATAATGCATTGTGCTTCACGTTTGTTTGCAAATTTAAAAGCTATGCAATATAAATACAATGTAGTAACACTTACAAGAATTCTATCAGGATACTTCTCCCTAATACGAGCAGCTTCTGCCTACCTCCTTTCTGCGTTGCAAAATAAAGATTTTCTAATAGCTAAAACATGATAGTTGACACCATCAAAAAATTTTCCCAATTCCTCCAAGCTACATCCTATGTGACTTCTTTGTAACCAAATTAAATGACCTAAACCTCATGAGTCGAACTATAAACCAGAAATTTCCACGTTATTACCAGAAAAAGCTATTCGTCAAAAAAAATTGAAGCTAAACTAATTTTCATATTTTTGAGTCCAACTAAGGTTATACCAGGTCTGATTCCTACAAAATTAAGTGAACAATCCTAAATACAACAGAACTTCAATGTAATTTTTAATTAACAGAAAACTTAAGTGCAAATACACTAAACAAAACGTGCAGCCAGAGTTTACCGTTGATCCTTGGGATACGATGGGCTGGGGCGGTGATGTTGAGGTGCTGGGGAGACACCGGCGTTGGGGTGGCGCTAAGGTAATGATGGGGCGACGACGGATCTGGGCGTTCGTGGCGGCGCTGGCAAGGCAGGGGGGATGCTGGTGGTGCTGGCGATTGGGGCTCTGGCCGACGCAGGAGGCCCTGGCGTGAGGTCTGGCCGACGCAGGAGGCGCTGGCGTGGGGGGCGGTGCTGGCCGACGCTGACACGAGATGACGGCGGAAGAATAGGGACGAATAGCATGAACAGTTCGCGTTTTTGTTATTAGGGTTTATTAATTTGTTTATTGGTTGCGGTTAGAGGAGGTTTGGGTTTGGGTTTGCATTATTTATACTATTTTGATTAAATAATCCTGTTATGATTAGGAGACCTATTAATGAAGGTAATATACTCCTTCGCCTTTCAGGAGACTCAATAACGACGGTATTAGAATCAAATCAACGAAGGGATTAGAAAACTGTTATCCTATCTCACATCGTTTCTCTATTAATTGTGATAACTCGATGAAGGGCTTTAAAACCGTCGTTATTTTACACACATTAATGACGGTTAACTGATCCCTTCGTTAATTTTGGTCGTTAAATACCCAATTTCTTGTAGTGATTGTAGCAGGCTCCGCGGGGTACTTTCTTTCTCTTGAACTGCTGTGACTTTGGTCCTCGCGGTTGTGGTTTACTAGGACCAATGTTTTTATAGCTTCTAGTATTATACCTCTGGCGGACATAATTCAGCTCCTGCTGCACCATATTCAGTTCTGGTTCCTTCCTACTGACTATTAAGTTATGTTCTATCGCTAAGTGCATAGGAAGATCAGTGACAGACTTAATGACAGGATTCATTCTTAACGTGGTGGCAACCACAGCAAGTGAAGGCGAAAGACTATTCAAAATGGTTGCCACTTGCATTCTTTCTGGGATTTCGGTCCCAGGAGTGGATAAGTCCTTAGCCATGATAATCATTTTATTTATATGTTCTACGACATTGTCTCCCTTTTGCATACGACAAGAATTGTACTTATGCAAGAGGAGTTGAATGTTAACTTCAGAAGCAGTGTCGTATTTTTCTTTTATTGCATTCCACATGTCCATGGAAGTTTTATAAGTTTCAAAAACTTTGATTAAATTATCTTCCATGAACATGAGCATAAAACTTTTCGCCTTTTTGTCTTTCGACTTCCACTGCTCAAACCATTTCTTTTCTTCAGGTGTTGATTTATCAGTAAGGGTTGGAGCAGTGGTTTCGATTATATCATCAATGTTGTCATGAATAAGAGCATATCCTATTTTTCTATGCCACATATCATAATTACTGCCATTAAATTTGTTAATTTTCCCTAGTTCTGATAGAACGAGTTTACTAGCCATTCGGTAAAGAACTAAAACTAAATTCAATTTTAAAATATGTATAAGGTTGATATTTTGACAATTATACTAAAATATAATAAAGCTAAATAAATAAATGAATAAAAATGAACCTGGTTGTTTCGAGTTGATGAAAGAAGTTCCAATTTGAGCGAGATTGTCACTCAACGGTGTTGATTGGATCAGCACTTGTCGAAGGTTCGGCGTCGTTTCTAACTGGATTTGGAGCAGATCAACTTGGAACAGCCGGGCCAGCAAACAGCACAACGTCAAGTAGGCCTACATGCAAAAGCGAACGTCCTTTCTTTTACAGCCCACTTCTCCCCATCACAATGTCAGGCTTTGAGAAAAAATAGGATGTGACAGGAAATAATGGCTATGAAAGATGTAGGCTAGATCTAGGACCGGCTCTAGAAATGATAATGAGTTGGAGAGGCTATGATGTAGAACCGAAAAAATAATGGAGGAAGGTCTGCTAGCTAGATATAGAGTAGGCTTTTGGGGGCTGGTTGATAGACTGCTGGTTGTAGATTGGATGTAGGACCGAAAAGCAAAAGGGATGTAGCCTTAACAAATTAAAAAAATGTGACAAAACTTGCCTAGTAGGCTAGCTTGAATGCTTTCTTTACTTCTTCTGTCGAATGCTCCTTCTTCTTCTTCTTCAACAGGGTGCTTCTTTCTTCAAGAACTAGAAAAATGGAGAGAGAAAACTTGGCTCTGATACCAGTGATTGAACTTAAGGAAGAAGAAAGAACAGATTTTTAAGGGGCTCCGGTAATGGGTAAGTGGGTTTTCTTTAATTTTCGTTATATTTTCTCAAGGAGAATGGTCCTTCTTATATAGGGGCTTAACTCATCATCTCTACCTCTCAGATCCGCTCCCATGAGAGATTTTCTCTCAACTACCCATGATTCACGTTCTTCACCATTCTCTCAACAGAGAAATCGTGGTTGATTTGGTCATCAATGACCAAGTCAAGCGATTGAAGAGTTGAAAGTTTAGTTTCAGTGACTGTTCTTTGCACAAATGGTGCTAGAAAGAGAAGAGAAAGATGTTTTCTTCTATTTAATAGGACTTTGTTGTTTAAAATAAAATAGTGAGGTGCCTGGTTTAAAATTATGAGGGGTTTCTACTTAGTCGTTTATAATGAAATAGTCCAAATATTTCAGATTAAATATAGATGAGACGGCGGATGCTATTCACTAGTAGAAAAGGAGGTTTTACCTACGGAAAAATAGCGACGGATTAGTTAGTTTATAGCGACGGATAATTCCGTCGCTATTTTTCCGTAGCTAAAACAATTATAGCGACGGAATATTAGATTTTAGCGACGGAATACATTCGTCGCTAAAATATTTTTTGACGAAAATTATTTTTCGTCGCTAAATAGTTTTTAGCGACGAAATTTCCGTCGCTAAAAACTGTTTAGGGCATAAAATAAAATTTGGGCAGCCCGCGCCCGAATAAATAACCTGGTTCCCCCCCCCCCTGTCCGAACCCTTGCTCCTCAATTCCCCCCCCCCCCCGCTGTTCCGTCCCCCCCCTTGAACCCGCCGCGCTTGTGCGATCCCCCCCCCCACGGCCCCCCCGCCCCTGGTTCCGAATCCGCCGCCCCCTTCTTCCTCATTCCCCCTCTGGTCGCGCAGCCCGCTGGTCGGCCTCCGCGTTCATCCGCCGCACCGCCTCTCTCCCCCCCTCAGTCTCTGCAAGGTATACGCCCCTCATCTCTATCTCCTCTTTCTCTCCCGCTGCTCATCTGCGTCCTTCTGCTCCGCTTCTCTCGTCGCCGACTGCCGGCAGCTAAGCCGGGGGCAACGGCCGCGCGTCGGGCCGAGCGAGAGGAGAGGGAGAGGCGAAGGAAATAGATTGAAGCGGGGGATTGCATTGTTATTTTGGCAATTTTAAATTTTAATTTTATAATTATAGATTTTAATTTGGTAAAAAAATTATGGCAAAAAACCCCAAACGCGCGTAATAAAAAATATTCATATTGATGAAATTATAATATATTATAATTAATTTTAATTAGGGGTTAGAGTTTAGGGTAGGGTTAGGGTTTAGGCGACGGGTTGGGGTTTTAGGTTAGGGTTAGGGTTAGGATTAGGGTTAGAGGAGGGTTAGGTGGGGGTGGGGGTGAGGGTTAGGGTTATGGTTAGGGTTAGGGTTTGGGTTAGGATTAGGGTTAGAGGAGTGTAGGGTGGGGGTGATGGTGATGGTAAGGGTTAGGGTTAGGGTTAGGTGAGGGTGGGGGTGAGGGTTAGGGTTAGGTGAGGGTGGGGTGAGGGTGAGGGGTGGGTGTGAGTTTGAGGGTTAATGATAGGGTTAGGGTTAGGGGAGGGTGAAGGTGAGGGTGATGGTTAGGGTTAGGTGAGGGTGATGGTGAGGGTGGGGGTGATGGTGAGGTTGAGGGTTAGGGTTAGGTTTAGGGTTAGGTGAGGGTGAGGGTGGGGGTGAGGGTGAGGATCGATAATGGGTTAGCGTAACTATTATATCATTAATTACATAGAAACTACACACACCGTACACTCATATTTTTGAGCCGTAGAATACCCCGTCCAATAAATACTATATATAATCTCTTTATTTACTTGTCACATACGCGTACAGGATCGTTGGCGGATACGAGACCATCTTGTTCGGTCCGATAACTTTTTTGTACGCGTATGTGAGAGGGGGCTTATATATAAATATTTATTGGATCTGTCCAGTTTGGACGGGTTAGGTATGTAAACATGGCGTGTATATGTATTTACTTGTGTTCTTATGTACTTTCTTTTCGTCAGATTTTCGGCGATGCTTACTCGTTGTTCTCCGTGTACAAATTGCGAAGGGATATACATGAGTATATCCTTCCCACTATAGTGTACTCGGAGAACAGCGGGTAGGTGCTGCCAAAATTTTGACGAATTAAAAGTACACTTGAACACACGTAAATACATATACACGTCACGTTTACATACCTAATGGGATAGAAGCATTCCTCTGACAGCCGGTCACACATGCGGTCCTCTGAACACACGTTTACATCCCTAAATTAAAATGATATATGTCGGGATATGCTCACTTCCATTAATTTTTAAATTATAGATGCGGACAGTTCCTGACAAATCGTTCATGAGCATACCACGTGATCGAAGACATCTAGACACCCGGTACAAGGATGGGATAGAAGCTTTCTTAGCCTACTCTGACACAAACCCTCTACGGTCGCTAAGCGGGTCAATTTTCTATCCTTGTAAGCAAATAACAGAAGATTAGGAGCGATTCTGGCATCTTGCCGAGCGTGTGGATGGAGTAGATTTTTTTGCACTTTGCAGTTACTGGGACACTGCTGAAATTCAGGTATTATTAAAGTTTATATTTTTAATTTATTGTTTGAATTTCTATATTGTTTCGAATTGACATTGTTTTGCAGGCTCAAGCTGAAATAGCAAGGAGGAATCGCAACGCGCCTCGCACTTACGAGCATCACGGGGGCTCCAGGACATTCAGCCAGCATTATCATCAATTAGAGCTTGAGGTATATAATATATTAGCTTTTACGTTGAGTATAATTTATGTGTTATGGGTTAATGATATATTTGAATAAAATAGGGAAGGGGAGATCTCAGACATTTTGCAGATTGTATTCTGACTTCCTAGAGCCCGAATTACGCCGATGAAGAGAAGAAAGCAAAGAATAAGGATCTGGCTGTAAGTAGCAGTTCATTTATATATTCAATTTCATATCAATGCATCATTAGTAAGTCGATTTGCCTGGGTTGTTTTGATATATCGCAAGAGAAATTACATGCCAAGGTACAGGAGCAATTGACTCAGTCTCAGGTCTGTTCTAACACTCCTGCCCGGTCCATCATCGAGACGGTCATTGGACCGGAAGAACAGATACCGGTGGAGAGGATCCGAGCAGAGGCCGCACGAGTCTAGTAGCACCTACGAGTCTGCAGCACCACAAGGAACACCAGGAAGCAGTTCATATCAAGACTCGATGGAGCAGCGATTAAAAGCGATTGAAGATTGGCAGTTGCAGCAAACAACATATCAGCGGGTTGCAGAGGAAGAACGGAGGCGCCGGGAATAGACCGTATTGGAGTTCACACAATTCATGTCGACTCTGCCTCAGGAGGCTCAGGAGGCATATAGAAGACGGTTTATGTCGTCACAGGTAATATATATACTTTGCTTTTTTTTTATTTAGATTATATCGTACATACTGATACACACTGATACAAACTGTTACACACAAACCCTAACTCTAACCCTAACACAAACATCAAAATATATCCTTATAATATTTTTTATGTGATGGTGGTGTTGATGGTGTATGCGTGCGTAAGGGGGAGGGGGTGTGTAGAGTGTGATTGGTTGGTGGGTGGGGGCTTTGGTCGTGGTTGAGGATGGGGAGTGGGGATTTTGTTGTGGTGGTGGTTGAGGGGGAGGGGTAGGGCGAGGGGGAGTGTTGTTGGTTGGTGGGTGAGGTTGGAGGATTTGTGGTGTGATGTGTGGTGATGTGACGTGCAGTATAGTGTTGTGTTGTGTTGTGATGGTGTAGTGTTGTGTGTTGTGTTGTGGTGTTGTGTTGTTGTGTTGTGATGTTGTGGTGTTGTGTTGTAGTATATTTATATTTGCACTCTTATTAACGTTTACACACACTTGTTAATATTTGATTTATATTTACAGGCCGGGACTTCATCACAAGGTGTAGCCGGGGGTAGTCATAATGCGGCTGGTGTTGAGGATGAGGATGATGATGATCAGGAGGATTGATTGTCCTTAATATAACTTTGAAAACAATTTCTCGTGTTGTATAAACAATATTTATTATGTACTCGAGAAACTTTTACTTGCTTTTATTGAATTAAATGTGTGATATATGCGTAAGATGTGATATTTGCGTGAGATTGAATATTATACTGATGATTGAACAGGTTTTTAAAAATTATTATCGATATTGTACAGGGTTTTTTCAATTTTCAAAATATTTTCCAAATTTCTTTTTTTTAACTTTTAGCGACGGAAATTTCATTGCTAAAATTGATTTTAGCAACGGAAATTCCGTCACTAAATGTTCATTTAGCGACGGAAAACATGCACGAAATCTTACCTGCCTAATTTAAAAATATATTAGCGACGGAAGTGACGTCACTAATAAAGTTTTGGCGACGGATTAACCGTCGCTAAAGTTTTATTAGCGACGAAAAATCCGTCGTTAATTTCTTTTTTAATTTTTTAATTTTTTAAAATAGCGACGATTAAGCCGTCGCTAACTTTTAGCGACGGAATTTCCGTCGCTAAAAGTATTTTTAGGTACCCCTGTAATAGCGTCTAACTTTTAGCGACGGAATTTTATTTTTTCCGTCGCTAAAAGTTTTAGCGACGGAATATCGACTTATAGCGACGGATTTGTCTGTCGCTAAAAGTGGAAAATGCAGCAGTGATTGTAGTTCTGTTAGTCAAAGAAGGGGGGGTTGATTGACAGAAGCAAACAGCCAAAGAAAAGAAGAGGGGGTGGGTGCTGCTTATTTTGACAAATAAAGAAAAAGCCACCACACACTCTCTTTTGTCAAATGTCTACCACCGAAAGGAAGCTGCAAGAAAATGGAAAAAAGAGCGTGGGTCCCACTACGGACGGGCTCCACCACGTGCCCCATCAGTAATAAAGCATTGGTGCATAGTATTTTTCCAAACACTATAAATAGGCCCCCAAACTCTTAAGGAAAACTCATCCCAGAAACAACTCCTCTTATAGAAGAGTAAGAGAGAGAAAAGAGAGGCTTAGAG